TGGGGGGGGGGGGGGCGATTCCTGATAACTCGAACTTCGGATAACTCGAAACGATTTGCCCGGTCCCTAAAAGTTCGAGTTAACGAGTTTTCGCTGTATTTTTAAAAAGTGTCAGAAGAAATTAGCCAGGGTTCACATACAATTAGGGTAAAACAGAGAGAAGTGGACCAGGGGAAGCAGATCAGATGGCTTTGTTTAGTAATTGACATCATTGGGAACAGTCAAATCATAGGAGTGCTATGAATGTAATTTAACCCCACAAGAGAGCTTTGTTAAGTCATGGTGAAGGACATGCATGGTCATGGCCTTAAAGAGGCATAGTATGTGCTGCCAATTGGGGCCTCCCAAAAGCAAGCCACCAAAGTTGGCGGAAAAACTCCTCTCTTCTATGAAGATGGTGACTTGGGGGAGGCAGGAGTTGACTTCTACAGGATGTTCAAAAAGTCACTGTGCAGTAGAATTCATTTATTTTGTTGCATGTATTAATATTTAGTATTGTACTATGTATCACATGTATTGCATCATCAAAGACATGAATTTCCACTCAATACTGCATCAAATATTAGCACCATCCCCAATTCACATAATTTATTGCCTAATTCCTAGCTACAGTGAGGCCTCCCATGTGAAAATCTCATATAAGACCATATATGAAATGGCCATATATTTAGCCAGTCCAACATATATTGGGCTTATATGATCATATAGTGCAATTCATATATGAACATATGTGAAAAACATATGGGGCTTGACACAAGTCACATAAAATCATTAACAATGAAAATATATGACCCCATACATTTTCAAATTTTCATATATTGGCTCATGCAAATGCATCATATACTGTCCATTTATGCCCTGTTATATTTGTATATGGTGAGATTACCCGAAACATGCCTGTATCCAAAAAGGGTCCATAATCCATCAAATACTATATGATCATTCATATGCAGGTCACCATACTTTACTTGCAATCAACTCATTTTTTATTGTTCATAGACCACAGTCAATTACTCCTAGAACTCATGTTTCATAGTGTTAAACATATGCACCCTGTTAACGAAGGTGAAAGTTTCAATTTTATAGACTTGAACCTCCACAAGTATTTTCACCAGTAATGCTATTTCATGACAAAACTTGACTTACACATGTAGGAGTGTCTTCTTCATTTTGACTGACAACTCACAAGATAAAAGGGAACAAAACTGTATTTCTTTCTGAAGTAATCCAATGAAGAATTGTTCAATGAAAGCATAGCATGCCATGTGTCCCCCACTTTACAACAGCAAAAACGCATTAATACATAGGAAAAGATGCATGCATGAAATGTATGGTTGTGTCCCTGAGTTCTTGTGCCCCCCCCACACTTTTCTCATCTGCAATACACTTATGCTACCTTGGGGGGGTTAGGGCCCAGTTTGAAGTCCCAACTGAATTTTCCAGCTGGACAGAAGCTGTATATTTAGACCATTTCCAGCTGACAAAGAGCTGAAAAATGGTAGATGCAGGTTGTTTTACAGCTGGAAATTTACCATTAGAATTTTATGTAGGATCCTCCTATTGGAATACAGCTGAATTTACAATTGAAATTCAGCTGCTTCAGTAGGTGGACCTCCAGCAAGAATAGCCAACAAAAACATTCTCATTCCACCAGTGTATTGCAGTTAGGAACAATCTGGATCTGACTTTACTTTCCAGCTGCTACCCAGTTAGGAATGAGTCTAAATTTCCAAATGGGTTCCAGCTAGAAATTATAGCTGTTTCCAACTAGGATTTTTAGCTGGGGGGGTTCAAAATAAAACTTTTGGCAAATTACTTTAAAGGATATGCATAGCTAATACTTCATGTAAAATATAATGGGTGCATTAAAAATTTGTTGCAGAGGCATCTGAAGGTCCATTGCCCTCACGTGTAACAACATCATGCAGAGGCATATTTTACAGGGAGGGGGCAGGGTGGTGTGGCTGCCCCTCCCCCCTGACATCCCTGGGACAGAGTTGGCACCCCTAATCTGCTGCTCTGTCCCTCCTGACTCTTCAGCAAAATACACCACTGACTTCATGCTATGTTTTATTTAAAACTATAAGACTTATCTATGGATATTCACCACATAAGAGACATGATGCCATTTGCCCATCACACTTAATATTGGAATGCACGTAAAAGATATTATACACCACACAATTGTTAATATATGAATACATATATGATGGTATATTGCAAATATATGATCATACATGACCATATAGAATCATACACCCTGTCATATGTGGAATTTTCATGTGGTCTCCTACATCAAGTGATGAATTCTACTGCACAGTGACCTTTCGAACACCCTATATAAGGAGTAGCTCCCACCCAGGATGAGATGCAGGGTACACATCAATTATAGGGAATGAGATTGAGGAGCAGTGAAAGACAAGTACTAAACTGGGGCAGCATACTCAATACATGGCAGATATATAATGTCTGTATGAGGAGGAGCTCTGTAATGGAGGCCCTGAATGATTTCAAAACTCAGCAGGAACATGCATTAGGATGCTTTTGACAGGATGGTCTTGGTGTTATTGTCCGTTTCAGTTAATATAAGAAATTGAAAAAAAAAAACTTTTTCCCCATTGTTTTTATTTGTCCTTTAATCTCTCCATCAATTCCTATATCCCATGAATTTTGCTAGTGTTTTCAGATTCAAAATTTATTGATGCATTACATTGATCGAGTAGAAAGAATGCAAGTTAATGCATTTTCTTGACTGTTCATTTTTTAGATTGTTTGAGATGAACAAATGGTATCCCATCAGAGGTTGGATTTAATTATCCTACCCAGGAGGCAAACTATGTGTAATGATTTTAGACAGTTGCCTCCAAAAGTCAGGTGTTCAGGTTCTTATGAAACAAGACTGGATTACAGAACATTTCTCAGGATTATGTTTCATTTTGTTCATATTTGCTTGTTCTAGTTCTTGATGTAAGGTTCTCTGAAGATCAGGGGGGTTGTTTTTGAGGTGACCACAGGCCATAGTTTTGTCATTGCTTGTTTGAATGCAAGGGCTCCTTCCTGGATGTCAGCATGTGTGTCTACCAACACAGAATAAATGAAGGTATCCAGGATTGACCCTAGAGGGACCCTGCATGTAAGAGGAATGTTTTCAGAAATGGCATCTGAATACCTGGTCTGCTGGCATCTGCCATGGAGAAATGTAGCTCTCCAATGGACCAAGATTGGTGATAGTATCACTTAGTGATAGTAATATTCTGATGGTGATGTTAGGATCTATGATGTCAAAAGTTTGACTAAATTCCAGGATATCTCTGGTTGCTGCTTTCCAGCATCTAATTGTGTTTGGACAAAATGTAAAAAGTCAACCAGATAGTTGAGGGCAGATGAGATCCATATTGTGATAGGTAAAGCTTTTAAACAATATTTTTTGACCTTGCCAAAACAATTTTCTCCAGCTCCATGCAGGGTCATGACATAAGGAATGCTGGGCAGAGGTCATTAAGGGTTTTTGGAGGTGATTTTCTTAGAATTGGGGACCAGAAAGACCTATTTCCAAGTAGTTGGCTCATAACCCTCCTTAAGGGAAACTTTGATAGTGGAGTAGTCTGCTCCAAGGCAAATTCTTTGTAGATCCTTAATTCTAGTGAGCATATAGACATACTCTTAAATGAGTGTTAGCTGCTACATGAAAGCAGATTTGGAAAGAATGGTAGTTGGTCATAAAATTTACAGTTTGGGAAGAAGCTGAGAGATGTTGACAAAATCCACTGCTCCCACTATTTTTTGTTTCACTGCTGCTCAATGAGATTGTATTTTTTTAAATTTATTATCAAGCAGAATATCCTCAGTAAGGTCCCCTTCTCCCCGCATTGTTCCCATGGGCCCAGTTATCACTAGTCTTCAGGAGAACAGACCTCTCATCAATAATTCAGCCAGACGTCTTGAGGTAGGTCCTTGTGGTGAGCTGAAGTTGGTGTCATGTATTGTCCTTATCTTGTGCTGATCACCACACACACTGGCTAAGATAATAGAAACCTATAGCCAAGTACAGGGTCTCCTAATTAACCCTCCAGAATTTTATTGTTTCATGGAATTTGAACTGATGTTAATATATTTCTTAATTTTTTTTTTTTACCAGATATTAAGTATGTCTATAAGTTTTTTGCAGAAAGTGTCAATTGATTTCATGCAGCAGTTCTTGAGCTACAGCTGGAAAGGCAAAGTCAAGCAATTATGCACAGTTTTAATAGGTAGAAGGTATGTTTCCTGAAATGAGCAATTGGGTCATTTAAGGAAAATGTATAAAAATCAATATTGAAACACTTATTTGTAATCTCACTCATTAATCACTGTGAATTTGCATGACTCCATCACCTTTCAATGCATTTCTTGCAGCTCTTCATTGAATTCTTGCTGAAATCAAAGCTGAACTCAATATATGGTGAAAATTTCAGAAATGTATTATCATTTCAAATTTTATGAAACAATAAAATCTCAGTGTGTTTATTGGGACACCCTGTACTTGTCTGAGGGTGTTATTATTTTGGCCAATGTGTGTACTATAAATCAAGCATCTTGCATTTTGACCTTTCTCATGTGTGGTATCATGTCATATGCAGGTCTTGAGGAATTGTGTAAACTGCATCTTTGAGAACAAGATAGCAGATGCAAGGAAAACATTCCCTGCAGTACTTCGTGCTCTGAAGAATAAGAATGCACGTCTTGCTCTGTGTGAGGAGTTGGCACTTCATGTCACAGGAAACAAGGCAATGCTGGAACATCAGCAGTTTGATCTTATTGTTCGTCTCATGAACTGTGCTCTTCAGGTAAATATTCCCTGAAATCATGTTTCAGGTTAGCAACCAGTATTTTGTTTTATGCATAGATGAGAACATTTGAATGCCTTGAATTCTTGATTGCTTTACCTCCAGTGCATTTAAATTAGCAAAGATAAAGTCTAAGTTCTACACTTGAGGTAACGTAAGGTTTCCAGACCGATGACACAAATCAATATTAGAGTGTTGCTCTCCAATTTGCAAGTAAATGGAAATGAAAGTATTTGGAAAGGTACAATGCAGAGCAGTTAGAATGATTAGGTGAGCTAGAAGTCTTTGATATCAAGTGAGGAAGGATTGCATTCTCTTGACCTCTTGTTTTATGCAGGGTGACCCATTTTGGAAGCTTACTGATGATTGGCCATGTGCAACATAAACCAATGGATGGAAAAAGCTGAAACTTGGCATATAAACTACTGGCAGCATGGGCTTTAAGAATGTGAGAAACAAGCATCGAACATGTGGGGTTCATTTAACATAGGGGGTGTGGTAGGATGATAGTTGGCAGGGCTGGGTTACAAAATGAAAACAAAATGAGAAACTGATTTCAATGCTGTAGTGAAACAGAACCAGAAACAGAATCAAAAGAAACAAATGAAATGGCAACAAAATGGAAATTAAGTCTTGGTGATGGTATTAATGATATTCGATTGTGCTTTGCTTCTCTGTCCAAACAACTGAACATCAAACTCCAGTCCAGTGAATGAGTTCAAATTTAATTGGAGTACCAACTGAGTCACTGACTAGCCCTTTTTTACTATCCTTTTTCCACCATCAACAGGAATGTTTAAGTTGCTTCTCAAAATACAGTAGAAGGGATTTATGCATTGATCACCCTGACTGCTATGTTTGCTTTGGCATCTGTGAACTGGTGAAATGAAAAAAAAATTTCATTGAGCAGTAAACACAGTAGAGCATCATGGTGAAGAAGAGGAAATTGAAACTTGGTCAAGACAGGTCAACTTCCATGGTTGGGATGGCATTCAGAGATGTTGATTTCTACTCTCCCAAAGACTTCGGGGACCTAACATGGGCAACGGGAGAAGAATAAAAACCAGACATTGTATCAATGCTGGGTTTACATTGACAATTGAGATATGGTTGAAGTAGACATATTGATGTGAAATCAAGAGCAATTAAATGCCTCCTATTTGTAATTTCCTTTTTTTTTTTTTTTTACATATATAGGGTGGGCCATAAATATTCACTCCAAATCGAAGTCTTGTATTTCCTGTATGATAGTAATAACTTCTCATGTAATCAATTGAATCTCTGCAAGACACATGAACTTATAGTAACTACTCACGAAATATGTTCAATGTGTCTCCTGTTCTTCTTGATGGCAACCTGAAATCTTTGAGTCTGTCAGTCTATCACACCAGACAGACATGGTTTCACTCCTCTTTTGGCATGACCCTTAACTGGTTCAGGTTGCTGGATTTCATATATGGGCCCTTGCTTCCAGCAGACTGCATACAGTAATCAGTTTGGTTATGGTCAGAGTTGTATGAGTCATATTCTTTGATAATTTATCCTCATGGTCAGCCAGACAATTTTTTGAGCCTCATGCCATTTCTAGGCAGAGAAGGATTTGTGTTAAAACAGCAAAGGATGACCTCCAAAGAGACACTCATATAGAGGTACAAAACTTTTTTTCTTTGCTGTTTTTTTAGGCATACAAAAATAGAAAAGTTACAAGTGGTATGAATATTTATGGCCTACCCTGTAGAGGCTGCTCATGGACCAGTAGAGTTGTTTGGAGGCTGTTAAGTGCAAATTTGTTTTGAAATTTGCCATCGCCATAATCTAAACCAGGGGTGTCAAACTCAAATTGGTCAATACGTTCAGGCATTCCTTACCCAGCAGATGCATGTGGGCCACACCCATAATTTTTCACTGAAATTTGTGCTGACAGTCATGATGGAAAGGAGCAGAATTTTGGAAGAATTTCCTGGTAAAGGATGAAAGGAATGTAGCCATATCTTGATTGGTTGAAGTTGAGATTGATTCACAAGTTGTGAGAAATGGGCTCATCTGAGAGGAAGAGAAGGAACGGAAGTCTAGAAATAGCAGAAATTGAAGAAAACTGTGTTCAGAAGTTATTGTTAATGATGATAATCCTAGAATGCAAATTTTTCCATCTTCAAATTGCCTGATGTAAGGATGAGTCAGAGATCTGTTCAGCGGATTCAGAAGTGCAGAGGAAAAAACCTTTGAAAAGAATTGTAATTCCTAGTGAGTTGGGCAGGTGCTCCCATCAGTGTCAAGGTGCAAGTGCGAAAATAAAATTCCTGTTGCTTTTATAAAATCCCTTGTGTGCTAAATTGGCTAGAGATAAACAGGCCAAAATGTTGAGGTGCTCAAAGGATGCATGTATGATATAAACCTTGGCATTCTAGCTGCTGTTTCCAAGGCGGCACAAATTTTCAGAGCTGTGTTTTTTTGGCTCATCTCGTATATCTGTGACGACCACTTAAGGGGTTAATAGTATGCTCGGGAGAGAGGAAAGAGAGTTCTAGTTTCCGTATTTTTAATTGAAGATTGGATCATAGTTGGCAGTTGGAGCTTTGGATATGGTATGCAGTAATTTGCTGTAGTTATATCCTGTTCTGTGGCCTGATATTTTGATGGAATCTACTGTATGGACAGGATTGGGTCAGATGCTGCCATATTGCCAAATTGGCTTCAAATGAAGCTACAGTGCTATAGAGGAAGCCTAACCTATATTCAATTTCCTTTATTGCACAATTTTCTGGAGTCCAGCGAAAGTGCAATTTGCATTTCATTTTCCCTTATGTTGTTTGAGGATGAATGCCAAAAGGATTGGGGTAGAGGTGTTTTCCACCATTATACATGGCATGCTTCAATCCCTTCACCAGCAGGGTTTTTTAAATGTACCCTCAACTTAAGCACTACTTTAGCATAATATTGGAACTTGAACTAGTCATGGTGTCTGGAATGGTGGTGTGTAATGAATGTCAATTCCTTTAACACGTTGACGACCAGCCTATTTTTGCTTGTCCGCCGCGTGGGACCACGCGCATTTTTTTTGTCAAAAAATGCATCCTGCCATCAGGACGCATGGTCCCAGAAAACATTTTTTTGCCGAGTTTTTTTAAAATGTTGAATTTTTTGGAATTTTTATCAGTAATTACGAAATCATAATCTTCTGGAACGTTCTCAACAGTTCCAGAGGGTATTCATTGAAAAAAAATCTGCATCCTGGCATCAGGACGCATTGTCACCAACGTGTTAAATCCCATAGCACATTGTGATGCATTTATTTCAAAGAAAATGCAATTGCAACTTTTTCCTAGTGCAGTAAGTTTCAAAGCAATGCTTCAGGTGTAGCAAGATATTTCCACAGGGGATACATCCCATCTGGATTCCTTTCTCTCTGACCAAATCTCCAAATCCCTCCCTCTGATCAAATCTTTGTTTTCTTCTTTAATACAATTGCGATGAAATGACTCAAGTTATTTGATTAATCAGTGTCATTCTCCTCATTGTGTCCAATAGGATGAATCTGACATGGATGAGTATGGAGTAGCAGCTGCATTGCTTCCCTTGGCCTCTGCTTTCTGCAGGAAGCTTTCTACAGGTGTTATTCAGTTTGCTTATACCTGCATCCAGGTATGTGATCTATGGCTTTAATTCATGTTCTAAACCTCCTGCACAAAATCATAAGATTGTGCTTTTGCATGATGATCATGCTATATTATTATCTAGGAGCATCGAGTGTGGGGCAATCCACAATTCTGGGAGCAGACATATTACCAGGATGTTCAGAAAGAAATCAAGAGTCTCTATTTCCACCATGGAGAAAAAGCCTGGTGTTCTTCATCTCCCATTTATGGACAGGTAAGGATGTCAGAGAGCTCTGCATCTATGCCTCACATTGTCCTCATTAGTTTCCTCTCTAATTTCTAATATTTTTGCTAACAGAAGATGGAAATGAGAAGGTGCTCGGGAATGGGAAAGGCTCCTGAGCCCTCTGCTTTGGAGGTGGCTGCAGATCAGATGCGACAGTGGGAAGCTCTGGCTTCAGGTAGTTGACTCTTAGTCTCACTAAAAGCTGAGAATGATACCAAAAGGGGACACCACTTTGATGCTAAAGGATAGATGCCCTTTATTTCTCTTCTGATTTCCTCTCACATGATGTCCTGGTATCATAGCTCATATAGTTGTTAGGTCTTTTTTCCTCTCAAGTGTTTTGTATAGTATGAAACGCTTGGGGATAAATTCAGTGGTCTTCAATGGTCCACTGAGTTACATACAGAGTAGTTCCACAAGGTAATGATGAGTTTCCTGTCTCTGGTCTATTCTATATGGAATTTATTAATTGTATTGCTTTTAATATTAGCATAAAATTACTAAGGACATTCTTAGTCTCATGCTGAACTGATTCAGAAAGGTCCCCTCATTTTGTTCATGAACTAGAAGAGCCCCATGGAAATTGCATGAAATGACATTGTAGCCCTTTGCAGGTTTTAGCACAAATACTGAATATCCTGAAGGCATATGATCTTAAGAAAAAATTGTTGAACTCAACCATAGAACGGTAGCTATGTAAATTTAGTCTTTTTTATTTTTCTTGAAGAACATGTGAAATTTTAGGAGTTAAAAAATTGACTTTTAAAAGTTGTACAGTACATTCAATTATAATTCAAAATAAAGTATATGAAAGTGATGACAATTAGCAGCATTTCACAAATATGAATTGTGCAGCCTTGAGGTTCTCTTTTCACTACTTTCATGTTTAGCACATGCTGCATGATGCTTTGCATCACTTTGAAGCCAACTTTGTCTCTCTGGTTCTGATTCCTGCTCTCATTATGGACTGGCTCACTCTACAACTTGCTACAGTCTTTCTGCTTGCTCTTGAGATGTTTTGCGATGATGATGAGCTTGAGCATCAGTTCTGTTCCCTCATTGCTTGCAATATCCAGTTGGTGTACAGGTGAGTCAGAAGTCACTGAATGACTTTGAACAGCTATGACTTGGCAAGAAAGGCATTAATTTCCAAACGGTTTTAGCATGGGAAAGAGCGTGCAGTTTTTAACAAGTAAGCAACACTTAAAAAAATAATATTTGATTTATTTGGTGTAAAAATGACTGTAATTATTGGCCATGATATCAAGCACCATCTAGCTCGATCACGTGGGCTGTCACAGAAAGGCAACTCCAGCAATCTTTTAAGTGATGCGTTACTTCAGTTCAATGATAGCATACAAATTTTTGGGATATAGGGTAAAGGCACCAGTTTGTGGAAAGGTTAAGGAAATTTTCCTATAGAAAATTGCATTATGGTCGTTGGGGTAACTGAGAAACCACTTGATTGGTTTCAAAGGGAGGCCACTTATAGTTTTGATGCCCATACCCAAAAATAACATTAAAAATATACTTTTCCATTATTCGCTGTTTAAATGAATATGTGCTGATTTTCATGTGGCTCCTATTTGTGGATTGCCTGGTTTCAGTTTGTGGACATCCATGGACATAGTTTGTGAACAACAGTTTTTGTCAACAATTATGAACATGCGTTGATTGAATAGAAATACATGGGCATGAGACATGTACAGCAATTATATTTATCTTAATGATGTCCTGTTAAGAAACATCCTTGGGAAAATTAAGGAATTCAGGGGTGCTAGGTCTAAATCTGAGTGAAAATGTCTAAGTTCACTTGTGCTGATGGGTATGCATAATTTATATGGTGGCTGACAGGCAAATGCAAAATATGGAGCATTTGAAGAAATAAATTTCAGCATGAATTTTGTGAAATCACAAAAAATGCAAAACTGTCCACAAATAGGCACCTGTCTACAAACTGGTGCCTCTACCCTACTCAGTCTTTAAATGAAACCCTACAGCCAGAAGTCGAGTGAAGTCAGGTCCGTCGACCTGGGAGGCCGCTCTATATGTCCAACCCTGCCTATTCACCTGTTTTCAATGCAAAATGATGCTTAACTTTGGAAAGATTTATTTCACAGTTAGAGAATAAATTGCAAAGGTGACACATTCCTCCAAAGGAAGTTCTTCAGCATTATCAGGAAACCATTTGGAGCAGCAAAAATTAGCAGAAAATGATCACAAATAGGGCAACCATTGCACCCTAAATATCACTATTTCGCTGAGAGTTGCTTTTTGTTTTGTGCATGCTCATCCCATTTCCTATTCTTAAGTTATGCAAACTTCCATGTTGCTTCCTTATCAATTCACGCACTTTCTTTCATGTGCAAAAAAAAAGTTTCAAATGAATACCTTCCTTGCTGAGTTATAGCTTTTCAATGTTGCCCAGTGACTTTTGACTCACCCTGTAAGTCATCATCACATCATTTCAGATCCAATTCACAAAGAAAATTGCTTGAGACACAAGGAAAAGAGTTCACTGTGAAATACTTGACATGGAATTATATTGGGAGAGATGTTGCAGAGACTATGCTAAAACAGTATATGAATGATTTAGTCTGGGGGACATCACACACACACATAACAACACCAATGCAGATGTCATTATGTCTCTTTCAATATGGGTGGCATCAAGTAAGTGCTGGCTTAGCTTACTCTTCAAGACCCTGTAGTCTTATGGACTTACAAGGCTTAGACATAAAATCATTGTTACAGCCTTGGAACCTTTGGTTTAACAAAAGGGCTAAGAGACTTAAACTATTTATGATGGATGCCCTGGCCAATGTGAATTAATTCCCTCATATGAAATTGAAAAGCAGCATGTTGCAGCTTGTCAGCTTTTATCTTCTTGTTGAAAGAAATTGTATTGATCAAAACTGGATCTTGTTTTCCATAACTTTTATTGTTTCTTTTCTCCATAATTTCACAAAAGTAAATATGCTGCATAAAACTTGAGAGCTTAATCTATGTGCATGTCAATTTTTAGCTTAATTGGCCAATTCTAAGGAGCTCAAAATGTACATCAGTTTTCCCCATACATTTTAGAACACACTGTATAATGCATTATCATCAGGAAAGAAATAAGTGAGACATGGACTCAGAGACAGATACACAAACCAAATGAGACCATAAGTGGCTTCTTCCTTTTTATAAAGAGGAGTCCACTAAAGACAGGCTTCAAGGGGTGTGGCAGGATAGAGTGCAATTACCAAGGACTGTATCAAATTCAAATTATATTTAGTGTTCTATATCTTTGATAAGCAATTAATTTCTGACTAAAAGTGGTTTGTTTGATGCTGTCTTTTGGAAAAAAGTTCTGCCTCCTTTGTGTTTGCTTTAGATTGCCTTCTATGAGAGGCTTTCAAAAAGTATTGCCTCCTTATTCATGATTCATGAGTAAGACAATATTAAGATGTCACCACCCTTTAGATGCACTCCTGCTTCATCTCTATGCAGAATTTAATAATTGAAATCCAGCAATACAGGGTGTGTAAGAAGTTCTATTACAAACTTTGGACTTACATACTCACAGGTAGAATCTTTTACAAGCCTATGTGCATGTGACTTATATGGACATGTAGCTTATAATTGCATGTGAAGCAATGGTCTTATCAGTTTGTGTCATTTTTTGTGTTAAAATGAATGCACAACATGCAGCTATCCTTGAGCTTCATCTCAGCGGAAAAACACCACCAGAGATATTCAAAGTCCTCTGGCCGAGGCACAAATCGCATGTTCATTCACCACACCATTAAACAATACCAGCAGACCCACTCTATCAAGGATCGCGAGAGAAGTGGATGCCCAAGGTCTGCTTTGGCTCCAGAGATGGTGGAAAAGGTGGCTCTCCGAATTCAATGGAACCCCAGGCACTCCATGAGGACGATGGCCAGGGAAGTGCACATATCGGAGGGATCCATGAGAACTATTGTCAAAAAACACATTCACCTGAAATCTCTCAAACTCTAGCGTGCACAGCTGCTGCCACATCGCACAAGGCAGTTACGGCTTCAATGAAGCAAGGCCTTGCTGCAGCAGTTCACGGCTGATGACGTGGACAAAATCCTGTTTTCCAATGAAAATTGTTCACCATCCAGGCTACCTCCAATTGACAAAATGATTGGATCCTCGCACCATGGATCTCAGATGTCTCGGATGATATGCTAATCGTGCCTCACTCACAACACCCCCAGTCAGTTATGGTTTGGGCAGGGGTGTCTGCCAACAGTTGCACCAAACTGGTTTTCGTTCCTGAAGGGGTCAAGAGGAACAGTGTGATGTACAGAGATATCATTCTAGACCCAGTAGTGAAACATGTGGGTCAGACCATGTTCGGCAACCAGGCTTGGACATTTCAGCAAGATGGTGTGCCAGGACACAGTTCCAACATTTCCCAAGCCTGGCTTCATCACGAAATTCCGAACTTAATCACGAAGGACCAATGGCCTTGTAGCTCCCCTGGCCTGAACCCTCTGGATTTTTCTATTTGGTCCATTTTGGAAACAAGGGTTGGGGCTAGTGCCCACTGCAGCATCGAGGCTCTTAAGAAGTCTTTGGTCCGGGAATGGAAGAATATTCCGCAGCATCAGCTGCGTGCTGCAGTACACGCTTTTTGCCCTCGATTGAAGGCTTGCATTTCCAAACGTGGCGGACAGTTCGAGTAGCCATGGTTCCTAATATTGACTGACACTTTGTACTAATACATTATAACTTGGAGTTGCCATTCTTGTTGCTTTGGTTATTTTTGTCAAAAAAAAAGTTTGTAACAGAACTTCTTATGCACCCTGTAATTGTATTTTGAATGGCCCTATCTGGGTGCGATTTCAAACACTGGAAAATTGCACCTTCCAGATCATTCTGGACTTCAAGGTACCTCTCTGCCAGCTCAGACTTGGGCATTAATAACAAGAAGTATCCTGAGGTGAGATTGGATCAAGGGGTGGGGGTGCATCATCACACTATGTCTATCACTAGTAATTGAAAAATCTTCTGACCTGTCTCTTGGGCCATTACCAGGCAGAAACTTTAACCCTCCTCATGCAGACTTTACTCATCTCTCCCTGGCAGCCTTTTCAACTTCTCAGAATATTACTGTAGCCTAGAATCACCCTGCAATATGTATCCCTTTCAGAGATCAAACATGAATTGTTAGGCCTTTTAGAGATGAAAAAAACAGCATGAAGCACCTTGTACATCATCTTCTGCTATCTTAAAGTGACTGGTTGTGCATCACTTCCAGTCATGTGTATTTGCTTCCTAACTAGTTCTGAGAGCTAAAAAAAATAAATCCAGGTTCCATCATCAGTAATAACTTAGGCAGAATGCTTTGAATCTGTATTTTCAACTTGAGTCATGTTCTTACCTCAAATTTCTCTCTGTTCCTCTTCCTATGCATCTGTGAGCATGTGGGGCACTCATCTAATGCAAATCTTCCTCATTCAGAGGTTGGCATGGTGAATGGTCTCAATAGTCCCCATTGAAATGGCCACACCATTAGCTATCTCATGCATGCCAGCATACACATCCTCTTCAACTATGGCCTTGAGAAGAGAGCACAGTTCCTTAGGATCACACAGTTGGGGGAAGCCTTGATGTACAGTTGTTTTCCAGGCTCCTCGTTCCTTTTCTGAAGCGAGCAGCCCACTGGCAGTTAGTAGTTATCTCAGGGACAGAGTCCTAACACATGTTCAAAAAATCACCACAAAAAGACTTTGGCATACATTCAAGGAGAGTGCAAAGAATCATGTTTGTTCATATCATCATGTCACCTGCAACAACTATTTTGTAGTTGCAGGGCTCAGTGGGTCCAATAAATAAGTTCTTTCCCTACAATATTTGATAGGTAGAGAAAGGGGGAAATAATATCAAATTAAAGCCCACATTCTATTTTTCATGAACAATCACTTCATTTCCTTGTTGAGTCAATAAATACAGAAAATAAGAGGAGTAGGCAATACTTTTTGAACACTCCTGTATATTCAGTTCCTTCTGCCTTTTGGCCTTTTGAGCTATTGTCATTTGACCATCAGATGTAGTCCTAGTTGCCATTATTAGATGAATAATTGCTGTCCATAGGAATTCCAATGGTTTCTTGAAATTTAGCAGCCTACTGAGACATAAACCCATAAACCAGTTCTTAGATCAGAAAAATCTTCTGGACATATTGACAATTTTTCCTGAGAGTCCAGCCAAATTATATGAAATTTTGAAAGAGATCTACAAGATTCTTATCAAGAAGATTCAATGGAATTTTCAATGAAGTTATGAAATCCCATGTTCAAACCATGTCAGCTGATTTGGCGATGTTGTTGAAAGGTTCCAAGACTGCTTTGTTGATTTTTATTAGCTGTGGTTCATGTAAGTTTTTGCAGTCATGTTGAGTAAGAATGTCTAAGATTTAGTTCATTTCAAATAATTTGAACATTAGTATTTGATGAATCTAAATTTAACTGGGTATATATGAAATTTCATCCCTTTTTGGCTTCTTTGGGAAGACATTTAAGGAAGAAGACAGAACTACTTCATTGATAATGGATGAAATAGCAGCACAACCACAGTTTCTCACATATAAACCACATATTCACCCCTCCAGAGATTCCTCTTCAGTTGCTTCCATTGTCTCAGGCAGTTTGTGCCCCTTCTCAGCTGGATCATCAGGCAAGGGAAACTTGCACTGCCTGAAGCAGTTGACAACATTTTGTTGGCTTCACTAGATCCCATGCACTTCTGAACATGTACATGACATCAAGCAAATTGACAGTTTTTTCCATGTCTTTTGCAGTCAAAGTTTCATCATCCTCTAAGTTAATCAAGATCTTTTGTTGTATTTTCCTATAGTAGTGGCACTTGAAGTTCATGATAACACCTGCATACATTTAGATCAATCTGTTGTTAGATCAATGAAGTTGTGTTGACTGGCAGGAATTCAATCTTGATGTTCCTCTGCTTGAGGTTTACAGCACTCCCATGACAGGTAGTATTATCCATGAATAGGACAAGCTTCTTATTCTTTTTCTCCATTGTTTCATCCAGGTCCAAGATCCACTTATCAAAGACCTGCTGGGTCACCCATGCATTCTTGTTGGTTTCATATGAAACTGGAAAGTTCTTAAGATGCTTAAAGCACCAAGGAGTTTTGCTGGTGCATTCTTGATAACTCCTGTCTGATTGGCCTAAAGGAGTACAGTTATCCTCTCACTTTCTCACCACCATGAACATAATCGTTACACTTGGTAAAGGTGCTTTCTTAAATTTCATAGAAAAACAACCCAATCTCACAATTGTTGACAAGGTCAGGTGAGAAGTTGCATACCAATTTTGGGAGAACATTTTTCACCTACAATGCTGCCACTGCTGTCATTGTCTTTGGATTCTTCACATATCTTCTTAAAAACCAAGTTGTGGTGGATCTTCCACCTCAATAACCAGCATCCAGTAGCAGTAAAGTCTGCATGCATTCCTACTCTGCCAAATTCAGTGCCTTTTCTTTCAAGAGTGTTCTGCTGATTAACTATGGCAATGGTTCCCAAACTGTGAGTCACAACCCACTGATGAGTCACAAGAGGCATCAAGGTACATTTTCCCAGTATAAAAAGTCATTATATCCCCATCCACTCAGGATGCCCTGCAGAAAAGGTCAATCAGTTTCCTTCATAATTACTTTTAAAATATCTCATTCTGGGTTCCGGTGGGTCATGAAGTTTTCTGGAAGTCAGCAAGTGGGTTGAGATTCAAAGAAGTCTGAGAACCGCTGAACCATGGAACACTCTTGAAACAGTGGTTCTGGTTTCTGTTTTGTTCTCCACCTCTAATGCTTCCTTGCCTTTGATGATCTTGGAAGCTTGCAACTGAGAGATCCCAAATTGATGAGCCAGTTCAGTTTGTGTCTTCTTTATGTCTTGATGGGCATTCAGAACTGCAATCTTTATGGCCTATATTTACACCCCGATTTTTTTAAAGATTGTACTTGCCTTCCCTCCTGCCCTCATCATCTGTTTACAGAAAGATCAAGTGTGTGTGGAGGGAGTGTGGGACTGGGGAAAGGGCTGGTGGGGCTTTCTGGGAGTATGGAATAGGAGAAATAAGCATTTAGTTTTCACTGACTTGAAATAAATTATTTCGTATTTCAGAATTGTTTATTCTTTTATGCAGGTTATTCAAATATTTGTATTCCTTAATTTGGTGTTTTCATAATGTGTCTTATGGTTGAAAATTTGGGACTGTGCAACTGTATTCCATTAAGTGGAGTATTCTGTTTAGCAGTATTCCATTATGCAGTGTCGACCTATAGTCCTTGGTGCACATTTCTTTGCACAAAGGGTGACACCACATCCTTTGGCATGAATACAAAGAAGGGATTGTTTAGGGCAGGGGTTGGGAACCTTTTTGGCATAGTGGGCCATATTAAGGTTGAGCTAAGTGCTTTTGAGCAAAAAGATTTTCAGAACAACATAATTTTTCCTGAAGTTGGCAGAGGTGTGCATTCTTTGTTACATGAGGAACAACTGTTATTTTCAACCATGACTCAATGAGCCAAACTTGGCTCATGAGCCATAGGTTCCCGATCTCTGGTTTAGTTCCCTCAATGCATTGGGCAATCACTGGGCTGCAAGAAAAGGATGTGCTGCAATCTAAGCCAGTGCTTGCTTAGCCACAAGCAATATTGGCTGGAAAAAATGAAACTCTTCCCTGGGGACAAACTCTCTTGAAAGTAGTGCATAACAGAAGAGGGAAAAGAAAATTGAATGAAAAAAGACATGACAAGAAAAGAGCATCTTCTTGGATGAAAGTGGCTTGTGGCAGGTTTCATATATGGATAGGATAGGTAAATAGTTAGTCTGTAGCAGTCAATGATCCTCGACATCAGTCTCACCACAGAGAAACTATATGTGTACCTATAGATAGAATATTCATTACCTGATACTTTACCATTGTAGAGTATGTACAATGGAAATGATCAGGTAGAGCTGATATGATTATTTTACTTAATCTTCCAGAGAAAAAGCAGGAATTGGTGACAAATGAGGAATCGACTCTCTACAGTCAAGCTATTCACTATGCAAATCGACTAGTCTACTTGAAGGTCCCCCTCAACTCTTCACTCTCCCTTTCTCACTCTGAAAGTCTTTTGGATGGTAGCAGCACTAACAGTGCCAACAACAGGTACATATGGGAAGCTTGTTCTGGAGATGTGTTGGAACAAAATGTCATTTGAATCTTTTCCTTTGATTTCAAGCAATGCTGACACAACCAGCATAGGAGAGGAATCAGGGTTTGAAGAAGCCAATATTCCAGATTCTGTTGTTAAGTTTGTATCAAAATTCATTGACAAAGTTTGCACTGAAGGCAACGTAACCCCAGACCATATCCAGATGCTTCGCCAGAACATACCTGATGTTGTTTCAATGCACATAGAAACCTTGGAGGCTGTCCACAGAGAATACAAGCGTCTTCCACCCATTCAGAAGGTGAGATTTTTTTTTTTTTTTCTAGCTCTATTGGGAAGGTAGGTTCCATGCATATGTTATGATTTATTTTAGCCTAAGATCACCCAGCCAAGCCTCTTGCCTGGAGAAGAGCTCGTTACAGAAGGTTTGAGGGCATATCTCCTGCCTGATGGTAGGGAAGAGCACATTGGGGGTACAACAGGAGGTCCTGCTTTTCTGCCCGCTGAGGGTGCCTTGTTCCTCTCCAACTATCGCATCATCTTTAAGGGAACACCTTGTGATCCTTTCGGTACCCCTTTATTTCATGCCCTCAAAAAATTTTACTGGCATTTAAAATTGTTTTTAAGTACATGTTTTCCTGATAGCTTGTGAGCATTCAATCATTCGCTGCTTCCCAATGGCTGGATTGACCAAAGAGAAAAAAATCAGTGGTCAGTACTTGCCACATGTGGATCAGTGGCTCCAGGAAGGAATGCAACTTCGTTCTGCAACATTCCAGGTTTAGTGTTTATTTTATTTATTCACTTTACACTTCTCTTTTCAAGTTGCCATTGCTCATATGTGAAAAGATTCTAAATGATTGCAGGTACTCAAGGTTGCTTTTGATGAAGAGGTGGGTAACGAAAAGGTAGAACTCTTGAGGAAGCTTCTTCCTCGTCTCCGATATCCAGCTACTCTATGTGACCTGTTTGCTTTTCATGGCCAAGGAATTGCACTCCTTGCTCCCACTTCAAAGGACAAAGCCAAGAATGCAACACTCAGGTTTGCAGCTGCCTTTTTTTTATCTTTTTTTTTTATCTCACTTTTTATTATCTTGTTTTGCACGGACATGATAGATGCCAAACTTGGAGATCTACCAATACGCCTATTTGTTTCTTTGCATGTAACAGAGGCTTTGCCAAGAAGACTTTGTTGCGGACAGCAAAGAAAGCAGGGCTGAAACCAAAATCTCCTAAACAGAAAAAATATGCATATCCAACAGATGGAACCTTGAGGTCACGAACATCACCTAGTCACTTGAGCCTTCAGCATGGGGAGAGCCTGGAAACTATGAGAATGGGACTCAGTGCAACCCAAGATGAACTATCAGGTACCCTTTTCCTATATTACAATAGAAGATAAATGGTCTTAGCTTGAAGTTAATGGTGGGGGTTCTACCTGATTTATATGTAAATCATGTAAAATTGGGGCAATGTCTGTCATAGCATTTCTTTTCAATAAATTATTTAAAATCATACAGAGTGCTGAGCAAACTTAGACAATGCTCTTGTGATGGAAGACAGTGGCCAGGATGACATGGTAGCTACCTCCTTATTTGAAGGTAAATTACTTGGAATCAAGCAATAATTAATCATAATTTCCAGCTGCTGATAGAGAATCCTTGGCATTAATGAGTGGTTGGCTTTAAATGGTACTGAAACCACCATATGAATGCCTTTTTTCAGCAGAGCACCTTTACATTTAGCAGGTGGTGTTCATAAATTGTTTTTCATCAATGTATTTGCAACAAAAAAAAGAAAGGTTAGAAAGAAAATAAGAATGAAGGAATGCACTGGATATATCTTGGACTAGGTAAATAAATAAAAAAAAGGAAAGGAGGAGAAGGATAAGACTCATATGACACCACCTTGTTGCCTTTTCATCATTGGGTTCTCAAGGTTTCTGGGAAAGGATATCTTGGGTGCCTGGAAAAAAAATCAGAAGGAAGAAGAGTATAATAAATATTTAGGAGGATTTTGTTTGGAATTGTTTGCATGTACAGTATGCTGATGCATCTGCATGCTTGTTCTGCATTTTCTATTCAGAAGTGTAGTTTTATGCTATTTTCTTTTCCAGTCATTGATGATATAGAGTTGTCAGAAACTGTGCTGTCACATCAGTCATATGCTGCTTTCCAACAAACTGACCCTAAGACTTTGGAAAGGCTGATGGAAAGAAGTTATGTGAAGGATTATGTGCGACTTGGTCTGGGGTCCTCACCAAATGGATCATGCAAAACATCCAAGCACATTGAGCCTTTCAGGATCAGTTCTATCAATGGCAACTACTCACTTGTTAGGAGGTCTGTGGCAATAAAAAAATTTCTCTTAAATTTCTCATAGAACTTGAAGGAGATTCAATGTATGCTGAGCTCTGCTTTGGATTCCTCACTAGTTATCCAGCTCTTTTGGCGGTGCCGGGGCAAGTGAGTGATGACAGCATCAGTCGGTTTGGGAGACTGTATCGGCACAATCGATTCCCTGTTATAACTTGGCGCCATCCAAAGACCAGAGCTCTTCTTTTACGAGGTGCAGGATTCCATGGAAAGGGAGTCATGGGAATGTTAAGAGTCCATCATACTCACCAATCTGGTCAGTTCACTTATGACTTAAAAGGTGCAAGCAATAAGTTCATTTAATCAATTTCTAGTTGAAAAACTCCTTGGAATGGAATGTTGCCCTGGAGACAGTTCTAACTTAGGTACTACCTTTCCCCATGCACACTTTGTATACAGTGCTTCTGGTTTTGGATTAGCATCACTGGAGCAAAGTAGAAAGAGTTGGATGGGTGTGGAAGCACATCAGTGATATCATCCCACAATATGGAGATGAGAGTCAGGAATCATTGTGGTGGTGCATTGTCATGGTGCGAAATAAACCCTGTTTGTGCCTCCTTAGGGCATTCTTCTACTATGCAGCTTTGGTATGGGTATTTTGTCCCCCTATGTTCCTAATGGTCATTCTATCATTGGGTGATACTATGCCAACCTTTTCGACCTTCATTTTGCCACTGGACAATGCAGAAAAATGTTTTCAGATGACAGAGCTAAGGATCTTTCTGAACTACAACAATGCATCTCCAAACAGAGCTCTAACACTATATTACAGGGTAATAGCATTGTAATTCTTTCATACCTGCCCTATTCTCCTCATCATGTCACCCAGTCACTTTTGACTAGTGCCAAACCTGAAGGATCATTTGCAGGGACAATGATTTCTTAACTATGCCACCATGGAATCATACATTTTTCAGTTTGGCAAACTTACCTCTATGAAAACCTTTAGTGTTGCCTTCCTGAAGCAGGTATATCACTGGCAAGTGCTTGTGGACAAAGGGGGGAACCTACACCAGCATCAAAAAGAAATGTTAAAAGGTAATTTAGAGCTCCCCCCCTGTTGTAGGAGTCATAATAGCATTATATCTGTCTTTTGCTCCACAAACAAGCCTCCACCGCTCAATATTATTAGCATTTACTCACAAACCTTTGAGCACTGTGCATGTGCCACATCAGGAAAATGCCTAATTAGGTTTTCTCCTTGCCATATGTAAAGTTCAAATTTCTATGGACAAAAAATGGGCTGGTTTCATTGTGCATGTCATCCTGTGTCCAGAAAACATTAGAGATATGCCAAGGCTAATGCAGCAACAAAGGGATAGGGTGATGATAATGCTCTAGGAGGGTGTAATACAACAGGATGTTGTGTGGTGACTTGGATGAGCTCACATGGCTTAAACCAGATTGAATCAACACTTCAAAACTGGCAAAACACTTTATATTGATAATCACATTTCTCAAGGTCAAGTGCTCTGTCAGCTTGTTCTAAGAAAGACCAAGATGGTGTAATGCATGTTGCATTACACCTTCTTGGACCATTTTCATCACCCTGTCCTTTGTTGCTGCATTTGTCTTGGCATATCCTAATTTAATTAAGTAACCTAGTTAACCTAATTAAACCTAACCTAACCTAATTAGGCATTTTTCTGATGCGGTACGTGCACAGTACTCAAAGATTAATGAGCATGTGTGTATAATGTTCAACCAGTGATGACTTGTTCAGGAAAGGGCAGATTTACTGCTATCACAACACCTACTATGCAAACAGGCTCTAAATTTACCTTGTAATGTTTCTTTTGGACACTAGTATATATTGAAAATTGACTTTGAGGACAACAATCTGTTTCAAATTATTTTCTTACAATAAATTAATATCACAAACTAATTGAATGCACCTCTTACATTTTTGCTTTCATTGGAAATCTCAACTGGATTGCAACTAATATATTTTTCTTTACAATTTCATTGATTGCAAACTTAGGAGTGCATAGTGAGACATCCAGCAACCTGGAACAGGAGAAGTTTTTGGCTTCAGTGGTAAACTTGACACCAATGGCCATGATGAAGCAAGGTTCAACTTATCTTCATGATTCCAATCTCAGCTTGGATTCCTTGGCTTTCACTGCTGCCATGGGTGATAATTTTCCAACCCTTACTCCAGAGGCATCCAGGCGGTCTAGTGCCTTCACCAAAGCTATGACATCACTCAGGTTAGAACGTTTCACTGAGTAGCATATATGATTTATTAGGGGCCTGTTCACACCAAATGGTCCTCAGATTTTTGCTGGAAATTTTCTTAAATATGCAAATATGAATTTTGCTACATGAGTTCATCATCTCTTTTCCCAGAAGACATGAATGAAAGAGAATATTTAATTGAAAAATGAAAGAATTAGTCATGATTATGATATATTATCGATACCATTCTCATGATACTCAAAAATGGGATTAAAATGCAAATCTGGAGAGACTGAATTGGACTACTGGAACAGATGCCAGCATGGATTTTCCCGGCATACTGATAATTTCAAATCTGCTCAGGTGTGAAGAGTAGATGTCAATTGTTCACAATTGAATGATATTTTTAAAATTAAAATTAAAGATATGTATGGACTTCCCATTTCAAAATACATTTTCAGAACTTGTCACATCCAACACTGTCACAAAATAGGCTTACTTTCTGTTTCAAGTGTTGTAATCTTGGGGTGACTTACACTAATTCCAGGCTTTCATTCAATCTCTAGAAAAACATGAAACTGAGTGCAAGACTTTGGATTATAGAATTTTCAGTCACTACCCAAAGCAAATTGTTGCAGCCCTTATATGCTGATTTTTCATCCATAATATACAGGGTTATCACGGTAAATGAGGAATTTTTACTAATGAAGAAAAACAATGAATTTACATGGGGAAAATGCATTTATTAAAATGAAATTTTCCACACTAGCAGATCCTGATATATAGTTTGCAATTATTCAATAAACCCGCCATTGGCAGCCATGACGGCCTCAATCCTTGAGCGGAACTGGCCACAGGCCTTGGCAACTTGGGCCCTCTCCATGTTGGTCATGACGTCGGTGATGGACTGACGGACAGAGTCGAGGGTGTTGTGGGGATGCTTATTAGTCTCCCTCTCAACAACGCCCAACACGTAGTAGTCCAAGGGATTTATGTTAGGGGAGCTGGGAGGCCAAACGTCCGGGGACCAGTGGTAGGGCACGTTCTCCTCGAGCCACTCCTGCGTCACCTTGGCCTTGTGGGAAGGAGCAGAGTCCTGCTGGAAGACAAGGCCTCCCATCGGCGATGGTGTCCATCCAGGGCTTCACTACATCCCTCAGCACCTTGATGTACTCAGCCGCATTGACCCTGAGGCCCTTCTGAAAGAAGTGGGGGAGCATGACGTCCCCTTCGCTGGAGACTACCCCGAGGACCATGACAGTGGCGGGGAACTTCGTGTGCATTACCCTGGGCACGTCATCAGGGTCCTTGCACAGCCACCTGTCGTTCCTCCTGTTGACCTTTTGGTCCTGGTCAAAGTTCTTCTCATACGTGTGCATTACCCTGGACACGTCATCAGGGTCCTTGCACAGCCACCTGTCGTTCCTCCTGTTGACCTTTTGGTCCTGGTCAAAGTTCTTCTCATCTGAGAAGAACTTCAACAGGTTATCTTTCTCGAGGTGCTTGACCTTGTTAAGCAGCTTCTTTGCCTTGGTCAAGCGCCTCTCCTGCATGGCTGAGTCCATGAAGTCTCTTGAGAATGTAGGAGTTGTAGCGTAGATTCTCATGGATAACTCGGTGGATGATACCATATGAAACGCTCAACTCCTTGCTGGGGTCGTTGTCCACCATCTCCTGCACTCTGGCAATAAACTCGGGGGTCCTGATGGTGCCGGAGCGACGATCATGCTTCTTACACTTTGTGGAGATGTCGTCCGGGTCCTCAGCATTGTCAACCTTGCCTTTGATCTTGTAGACGAAGGACAAAGCGACCTTGTGGAACTCGGCAATTTCCTTGAGGGTCCTCCTGGCGCTAAGGGCCGAGAGTACCGCTGCTCTTTTCATCTCTTCAGTGACAGTCATATTAATGACAGATTTGTAAGTTGGTTAGTTAAAAAGATAGGAAAAAAGGCTTTAAAATGGTGCCACATTCACTTCTCTAGGTTAAGCCATCTTCGAGATATAAGCGTTTAAAATCATTCCTCATATACCGTGATAACCCTGTATATAGCATTAGAATGCAAGGCTCTTCAGAACTAATGGAGAGATGAACTGGAGAAGGCATGCTTGGAAGCAATTTCATGACTGTAGTATGAAGTAAAATCTTGTGAGGGAAAATTCTAACTGATTGCAAAACTGGACTTGTTTGAAATGGAAAAGGGAGTAAATTGTAGCATCATGGATTTGCACAGAAAAAAAAAGAAGCTGATTGGGCCTACCAAGCTGAGATGATATCATTTGCCTGCATAACCAGAAGAAATGCCTTTTCTCCTAGAATAATTTACTTCAACAGTTGCCATTGACCCATAAGAGATGTCAGATGTAAGAGATGTCTTGTGGTCATGCATAGCAACAACTTAAATTTCAAACCTCAGGGCTCACTTTGCTCCAGAAGATTTGATGATATCAGTCCATTCCTTGGGATCATAAAACTCTGCTTTGAAATCTTTTGCAAAATCAGCATATGTGAAGGATGGCGGATAGTTTTTTTCCATGAACACCTGATATTTGTCTCCAGGCTTGGAACCTATAATACAAATGATTAAAAACAAATAAGCCAAATTAACTCCACATAGCTCCCTGCTAACTTAGACTCTCATTTACAATCATCTAGCTAATAGTCATTCAGTAATATCCTAGCTTAGTTTAGTAGCCATGAGTGCCAACCCATTTTGTTTACAGCTGACTACTGTCATGTATGATGGTTACTTATTTATAATGGCAACTACAGCTTTTTTCAGGCTCAACATTATAATTGGTTAGGTCAATCATGTCTTTATAGAGATATAATACATACATAATTATGTGGAGGGATACAATTGTTAACTGACCATTATTGACTGCTCTATTTTCATTAATGAAATTCATATAATTTCACAATGCTCAAAACTAAAAACTAATAATTTATTCTCAAACACAAAAGACACAGTCCCCCTTTGGAAAAGATTTCTGAACTGGACCACCAGCAGATTGGTCCATGACATATATCAATCATAAGCCCCTGAAGACTAGATTGCATTGGTGTAGATTATTGCTGAGAAAGTTAAGAAATTAGGTTTCAATTTTAATATCAAGATGTGAGAGTTGTAGCTTAGGTATTCATGGAGGGATGTGTGCAGCACACTCCCCTTTTCTCTGAGAAGAATACTGGAGGTAGGGGCAGCAATGTTGAATAGCAACTGATGCTGGGAGTGCCATTTTTGTTACAACAAAATGTGTTATTACTGCCCCTGTATTCCCCAAAAGAATAATTTAATCACTTGGGAGGGTCAAGATTTAGATGTTTGATCAGTTCTTTTGGGTTTGCACAAAGCCCAAACTATCTAACCTCAGAGAGGAAGAGATAATCATGGACCAGTAAGCTGCATTTCTCAGGTGTTTGGAACAGAAGAGAAAGTCAACCTACTTTTGAAAATGATGGGTCAGTTGGGTTAGGAAATAACTGTGATCAAAGGCTGCAACCCTTTTCTATCTCCAAGTGATCCATCATTCCCAATAGTAGATTGGTTAAATCTTATGCCTTTGAAACAAAAGGTGTGGGAAAATAATCAGACTCCAAATATGGTGCTAATGCAGTGATGGGTCTCACTTGAATGAGGAAGAATAGTGGGCAGGAAGGTCATAAGAAAATATATTACATCCCTGACATTGGAATTAGTTCAAACACCCCCAATAATGGCACTGCTACTGCTGGTATTTTGAATATAAGGGCACCTACTGAAGACAGTTCACAATATATAGACATCACTTCATGGAATACCTTGGAATAGAATGGTTCTGATTTTTTAACTATGAGATGCATTTTTAAATATGTTGCATAAAGGGAAAATAAATAAAATTAGTAAATAAATTAGAAATAAAGATTTCTGAAAGATGAAATAATTTTTTTTATAGTAAAAAAAAACTATGTTTAGTTTCCTTTTTTGCATCATCAAAAGTCCACACCAGCCCTACCCTCACTACATGGAACCATGGTGATGGGCAGCTGCTACTTGACTTTTTAAAAGTGCTACAAGAAAGCTAACAGATAAAATAAGTAAGGAAAAAAAACTACAAACAAAGGAAGAGCTAACTAAAAAAAAAATAAAATTGTGAATAGAGCACCAAAATATTATATGTACAAAAAGAAAAAGGAAAAACACAAAACAAAGTGAAAAATTGAAAGAAAAAAAACTAGTACTCTGAAAATAATATACAAGAAGCATTTTTTAAAATGCTTCTTGATGAATGGTGAATGGGCAAACACAGGTACAGTATTATATCTTCAAAATATCACCTGATACACAAATAAGATGTACAGTCTGATAGTTCTGATTATTGGAACACTCTGTATTACAGAATAAAATCCACTGGTCCATGGAGTATTTCATAACACCGAATCAATTGTATAAGGCTGGTGAAAACATTAGCTCAACTGACACCCAAGGCCAAAAGAAAACAACACAATGATTTGCATTTTAACGGAGGGTAAACTCATCTTGGAAGTCACTGTAGGGCACATTTCATGTCATATACATGGAACCCATCTAGCACCTGTGCTATGGAACCTGTTGGGTATGACACCATTACAATGACTACCAAATGAATTTGTACATACAGGGTGGGCCAAAAAGAACTTGGGTTATCTTCATCACTCCATAGCACTGGTCTCCAAGAGTTTGCTAAAATTATAATTGTGCCTACATGAAGAACATTCATTTAGCTTTTGAATGATGTCAACAAAATAGATTTGTGGCCTAACTACCAAGCAGTTACATGAAGAGCAGAAGAGGTGGTGCTGGAAAAGTTGGTCCCATACTGTGATTTCAGCCAGTGTATGTAAGAGGTCACATTCTCGCCACAAACGAAAGAATGGATGTCACCTGGAGCACATCCCATGTTGTACTGGTAAGTGCACTTTTCAAGCACTACCTCTGTTACATTGTGCATAACTGCATCAGAATGACAAATCAGATCTGAAATCTTTTGACATCAGTGGAAAGCTAAATTAATGTTCTTCATGGTGGCACAATTATAATTTTAGCAAACTCTTGGAGACCAGTGCTGTGGAGTGATGAAGATAACCCAAGTTTTTTGGCCCACCGTGTATTTCACATCATGCAATGTTACTTCTTTGGTGCACCCAAGGAAATGTGAGTACCTCTTTCAACCTAGTGTCCCATTGATCCCTGACTGGTGATGCCCATAAAACTGCTTAGGAGTTCTCTATATTTTTAAATTTCACCAACTACAGTCTCATGTTCCATCATGTGTAACGTAGGTCAAAGTCTATCTCAAAGGATATTTACAGAAGTCACTGTGAATTGTGACATTCGAACAGATATTCAGAACAGGAGATAGATGAAGGAATCTCACCAGAGTAGATTTTATTCATAGTGACCAGTTAATAACCCATCCTTAACCATGCAGCATATAGACCAAACATATGTTGTCATACTTCTTGCTCTTCATGATTTGGCCAAAAAAATTGATGACAAATGAAAGCATCTTCACTTCTGTCAACAAATAATGCAGTCACTCATTTTTATAAGAAGGAAACATAGGTTTCTCACCCGCCCAATGAAACCAGAACCATTCAGAGCCAAAGCTGGGCACAGAGTACACTCCCCAGTGCAGGAAGATACCGAATTTGGCGTCATCGAACCAGTCGGGCAGAGGTCTCTGGTCCAAGGAATCCCAGGTGGGTTCGTAGCTACATGGAGCCACGCTACCGGATGAATAGCGAAAGAGGGACAAGGCAATTAGGGCTTTTATAAGGCCTATGTTAGCGAACGGTACTACTTTCCACATTCTTGGCGTGAAGGAGAAGCGAGCTGACTCCATCCTTGCTTGGCAACCACCCCCTCCACCCAAACACCTGTATGCGGTGTTATATATGGGTGATAAAAAAAAAAGATGCGCACTATGGGAAATGTGTTAGTTTCGTGTCAGCGACAAAAAAAGATAAATTGGATGAGTGATCGACATTAGGAGGTAAGGAGGTGTTCTAGTGAAAATTAGAGGTTTTTTCTCCATCATCCGACTGCATGCTAAATTTAATTGAATATTGAGGTAGTTGATAATAAACCATTTGTACCACTTGCTGTGAAATGATCCACCTGTAAATTGTGCAATAGGGCATTGTATACTTCAGACAAGGAGACTGACAAAAATCTAATCCTCGTTGCAACACCTCATAGCCTTCCAGTGTCAATCACTTTTCTAACATCAGTTTTGGTCGCATTTGTGAAGGGGCCCACTCCCCATGAAGAACGATGGGACTTTTTTTAATCACCCTGTATATCCACCCACCATTATGGCTACGCCCATCGCACACGCGTGACTACAACGTGCGTTTCACTTGGACTCTCCACAGTCGAATTTTCTCTCAAGATTGAACTGCCTAATGGGAATGCAGGGTGTCGGATTCGGATTGCTTCTTGATATTGGCCAGGTCCTACTTCATCGCGTTAGCCAAGTTTCGAAACCCATGAAACGTTAAGGCAAATGGTAGACCTGACTGGGACAGGCCTTCGTACTGTAATTAGGTTGGCTAGACTTGAGGATAGGTAAACCATTGATATATGATAAGTATCTGCATTGAATTGCAATTTGATAAAACCCCTGGCTCCTTGTATGCATTCAGCCAGTGGAGAAACTTCCCTCCCCTTCCCTCTCCCCCCTTTGACCAAAAGGATTCAAGATAGTGATATCAGGAGGCGATTTCGCCCATTTCGATATCACGGGTCGAGGTCCTAATTTATGAAAGCATGTAATTTGCTAATCTTGTAATAAACCCTTCCTTGGACTTAAACTATATAGATTAAATAGATTATCCTCATAAATATATGACTTAAATGAAGGCCACATCTATATAATTATGTAATTCACACTGCAGATTTATACTTGGTGGTACAAAAGAATGCATCCTGCTTGAGGCTATATAAAACCCAACAAAATTCTGTGATTATAAATACTTTCCACAGCAACTGCAAATGATAGCACCATATAATGCAGTTATGCTCTTCTCATACTTTGAATAAAAACTTATACTTGTATGGGGAATCACAGAAATATCAAGAAACAGGAATTTTGGGTGGAAAAATTATTTTAAATACCAGTTTTCTCCTGATAACTTTTGAACTGCCCATTAATGCCAAAACAACATTATTTTTGTTTGATTTTTGGCAAAATATATATACATGGCAAAGGCAAAGATTAGGCCTGACAAATGACCAATTGTATCAAATGGTGAGTTCATGCCAAAACAAGTTTGTATTGAGTTGGCATTTTTGTGAGTCTCATTCTTTTCATGACATGCTCTGCATCAGGATTATATTGACCAGATCAATTGTTGTTTAATCCCTTGACTGTCGAGTTTTAATGTAAATTCTGAACTTCTCTTGTCAGGTTTTTATTTTTCTGTCATTTTCAATTATTTTTCCCCAGAATAGAGAAGCATTTTCAATTAAATGTTCATAAACTATTATATTTTGATTCTAACTGACACAAAGATAATTTCCCAGACATAAATGGTGTGCATGAGAACAAAGCATGACAGTCAAAGATTTAAACATGTACATGCATGCTATACTATTTTTATTAATCGTCATTGAGGAACTGTGAAAACCCAGCATTCTGGTCTTTGGTGGTCTATATTAAGACAGTGGTCTACGCACTATACTATATGAATTGGTGTTTGCTTCTTGGACTACTCATAAAACATTGGCATAATCCTTCAAAGTACTGTGGCACAAAGAACCTGACAAACTTGTCTATACATATTGATACAGTTTCAACCCTCAATTAAAGACTCAATGAATGCCTCTCAATAAGCTTAAGAAAGTATTGGTGCCTTTGTTCATTGTGCCCTACCAAATTTCCTGGAGATGTCAAGAAAGCATGTCCGGGTTGGTGCCGTGCATGCATCATTCTGGTCATTGGTGGTCTACAAACCAAGATGTTCAGAAAATCCAAGTCCTGAGGTTCTCTGATAACATAATAAAAAAAATAATTTTGGAGACCTGATTGAATTAACTTCTCAACCCTATTCTTGGCCACGTCACACCTGGATGATTCCAGGAAAAGGATGAATTCCATTTACTCCAGGGAAAGGGTTCATCTCTTTATCCTCAGTGTCAGAGATAGGGATGTCATCAGGGAAATGACTTGTACCAATAAAGTTTGAGAACTCTTACCTATTCTCCGTTCCCATGAAGAAGGTTATGTTATGATTGGAAAACTTTTCTCCCTATCATTCGGAATGAGGTACCAGGAACATTGATTGTGTCTGATAAGTGGGCTAAGTACACCAGCTTGAACCAGTATGTACAGGGTGTCCCATTTATCACAGATGATTTTAATAGTGTATAGAATTCTTCCTACTTGAGCAAACTAAACAAAATTTTCACAATATTTAGATGCCTGCTTAGCATTTATTGTGACAAAGTTTCAGCCAAAACAAATTCACCAATTACAAGCTATGAACTTCAACATGACCCCCCCTTGATTTCAAGCACTTTTTCCAATCGTGCCTGGTATTCAAGCAGTGTTTTCTGGCACATTTCAATGGTAATGTCTCCAAATGCAGCAGTAATATGTTCATTCAGTTCGGGAATGTCCCTTGGTTTGGTTACATAGACTTTCAACTTGACAAAGCCCCACATGAAGAAGTCGCATGGCCTTAAGTTAGGAGAATAGGCTGGCCAGGGCATTGTTGGTGATCCACGACCCATCCATCGATCTGGAAACTTTTCATTCAGCCAGGTACAAACTTCTTTACCGTAATGAGGTGGGGTACCATCCTGCATGAAGACCAGGTCATCAGCCAATCTTTGTGATTCTATTTCTAGCTAGAATTTTTCTTTGGCATTAAGGACACCCTGTATATCACCACCAAACTGTGAACTACCAAGCAAACTTTGTTAATCCCATCACAGGTACCAATCCTCAGATTATTGCATGTCTGTGGTGGTATTAAAAATGAGGAAAATGCATGGCACCAACCCGGACATGCTTTCTTGACATCTCCAGGAAATTTGGAAGTGCTCCATGAACAAAGGCACCAATACTTTCTGAAGCATATTAAGAGGCATTCATTGAGTCTTTAATTGAGGGTTGGAATTGTATAATTATGTATTAACAAGTTCATTAGGTTCTTTGTGTCACAGTACTTTGAAGGGTTATGCCAATGTGTTATGAGTAGTGAGTATGTGTTACGTGAACCAAATGCCAATTAATGCAGTATAGTGTGTGGACCACCAATGACCAGAATGCCTTTGGTTGTTGTTCTAAAATTTTTCAAGGAAAGTAAATTTTATCAGAATCAATGTAAAAATTTGGTTTGTCAATTCATCAGGTGATGTCCTTTTTCTTCCAGTAAAAAAGTACCAGTGGTATTCCTTGCTCATGACAAATAGGCCCACCATTTCTTAACATCTTAGCACATGGATGAACAAATACTTATGACCCTCTTGATTATGCTTGATAAAGGTAAAAAAAATAAACTTTTTTGCTTCCCCTTTTGCCCTCACAAATCTATTATTCCAAACCTGTGTATGCATATCCACACTTCTGCATTGACTAATATTAAGCCTACTCATTCTAGCATAATGGATGAGACAGCAGATGAAAGCAGTGAAAGAGATCATGGAAAAGACACTGTGGAGATCAATCATAGGCATTGCCAGTTGAGAAAGGAGCAAGCATGGCTTCCCAATGCTGTTGTCCAGTCTCATTCAAGAGAATCACTAGAGGAGAATGAGGAAAATTTGATCACCAGCCCACCCAGTGACACAGATTCATTTCAGAGGCCAATCCTTCACAATCGTGCATTGTCTGAGCCATGGGACTCCACAGATCGTGATGATCTTGAAATTCTGGTATGCCAGGACTATTCCTAAGTTGGATTCTTGAAAGTATGATTCATAACAATATCATTTTCAAATTAGGAATTTCTTGTGCATAGCATGCTATCATAGGCTTACAGCAAAGTTGAAATTAACTCTTTGAATCCCACATCTGAGTATACTCATGATAGCTCCATGGAAACTTAGGAAATTCGGGAGTTAAACAGTTAAATATATTGGCCTAATCCTTGGCTCTAAAACCTTGGATGGATGAAAAAAAAGGCTGTGATCTCATCCATGTTTTGGTGGGATTGTCAAAAGGTATTTTTGCTCATTCACACATCATGTCACATGACCTGCACATGTGACACACAACCCAGGTGATTCTAGTAGTGACTCAATCAGGATATAAGGGTTGCAAAATCAATTAAAATCTTTAAAGCCAAAGTATTCAATTATTTAATGGGAAGAATCTAATATGAGAGCCAGCTTCTTTATAATTGACTGATTAGGCTGACTGGATGTCCATGAATAAATAAGAAAAAACAATCAATCAATACTTTTGTATTTTTGCCCAGTCACCCAGGGGTTCAATGGCTTCAATGGATGGCCTTATTGCCCACTATTTGAATTTGCATTTGGAATTGCAATCTGGGTTCCTTTGATGGTTAGAATGGCATGGCAGCAATCTCTATACTTCTGCATATAGTATTTCCTAAGGAATGAGGTGAATTTGGGCAGGTGAGTAGCTTGGTTGGCAACAAGCTTGGCTTTCATGGTAGAGGACTCAGGTGTGTGGCCAACCAAGTAAGGTGTTCATTTCTGAGTGCAACCCCTAGTGTGGTTGGAAGGAAAGAACCCCAAACATGTTGCATTCCTCTTTCTACAGATTGGAAGTCACTCCCTATTTTTAAATTGTATTAAATTTTGTAATTTTTTTAACTAGAACAATTATTTTTGTGCCAAAAGAAGCAGAAGTCAATAAGATTTTATTATTTATTATTTTTTTGTTTACAATAACCCTCTATGGCACTAAAATTGAGTCTTTGACAGTGTACCAATAGTTGCATGGTATGAGGTGTGGAGGTCCAACGTCCAAAGCTGCATGGAAGCCATTCTCTTTCCACCACCATGGGCGTGTCTTTTTTCTCAGCGGCTCAGCTAGCTCTGCTGAGGCCTCCAGCATCCCATGACGTCATGTTAGGGCTGAGCTGCTCAGCGCTCCCATAGTTCGCTATGTACCGCTGCCAGCTACTTGCCCAAGAGTGACGTCATTCAATGACGTGGTTGTGCCTAGCGGCTGGAGAAAAAGACACGCCCCATATCTGGGACCAGGATGGGGGAGCTCAAAAAAATCATAAAACCTTATTGAAGTCTGCTTCTTTTAGGCAGGGAAACCATTGTTCTAGTTCAAAAATTACAAACATTTTTACAATTTAAAAATAGGGAGTCACAGTCACTTTCCAAACACCCGGTAGCTGGAGAATGGCAAAGAATTTTGGGTATTGTATATCCAGGCTCATAATTGTCACTGCTGCACTTCATTGTGGAATTATTTTTTCTGGAAACCATTCATATTCAAAACCAAATGCATTAATGCAAGTGGCATGGAACCATCACATCTTCCTTCACAGAGTAGGCCTTGCTGGGTGTCCTTCACTTGCATTTGATAATTGACATGTGCATTTTTTTGGTGGAGGATAAAAATATGAATCATACCACTTTTGGCTAAGCTTTCTGTTAGCTTCTAAGTAGGAGAGAGTGAGGTTATAAGAGATATGGTGAATAGCAGAAATTTAATTTATCTTATGACTGAAATTTTTACTAATTTAACTCCAACAAATCCCTCACACATCCTTGAAGAATAGAGTCACTGCATTTCCAGTAAGGTTTTGGGAGGTTTGAAATATATATATATATTTGAATTAATGGAACAAGTTCATAACCTGTTTTTCTCAAATAGCAGTTCATCATATTGATAAGAGAATAAGCTTTTGTTTTACATTGTTTGCATGCCCAAAGATGCCAATTGAAGGTGTTCCATGCTAATTGCTATGCTTAGCCCTTGTACCTGACAAGTTGCATATATTTTCATGCCTTATATTTTGGATACCCTAGAATTATAAATATGTTTATTGACAGATTATCAACAGCAATGGATAGGCAGAAAGTATCAAATACTTATTTTCCTTTTCTGCCCTAGTCATTCAGATTGAAATATTGTATAGCTTCTTACATTATAACTTATGATTAAAAAGAAATTCATAATCTTTTTTAAGTTAAATGAACTTATAAAAACATACGTTGTGTTCTGGATGAATTTCATTATAAGCTGAGGGAAAAAACTAGCTATTTGGCCTTCTGAATGTTTTTGTGTTCCTAATGTTTCCATATTCCTGCAGTTATCCTCCTTTTTTGTAGATGAGTGCTAATGTAGAAACATACTATCCTCCATTGGTAAAAAAAAAGTCAAATTTATTGGATTCAATGTATCAGGAGGTTAAGCCTATTAACCAACCTTCTAATTCTGTCAATGACAACATTGATGACCCCTGAGTTATTTCCAATGAGAATATTTATCTTCCTAAACTGTTTGATGGGAAAACCTGAAATTTAAAATTAGTAAAAAAAAGGGAATTCAAAGAACCATGCACTGTCAGAGCTATAAATATTTTTTTCCTAGTGAGATATATTCATGAGATATTCTCAGGACTCCTTCATGTTGGAAGCCATCTCCTGATACCCAGGAATGTATAGCAGACAACCTGTGGCCCGTGGGCAAAAAGTGGCCCGCGAGGCCCTAACCCACAATAAATACCCTTAGGTTACCTTAAAATAGTCTCCTACAATACTAGTGACTGGCCCGCAATGGCTGTGGGAGTGAGCTATGTAGCCCCCTAGCTGAAATGGTTGGGCACCACTGATGTATAGCATTGATATACATTATGAATTCTGCTGTCTTTTTTACATTGCAGTAATAGTAGGTAGTGGAGAGGAACTAATATTTTGCTATTCAATGTAACCTTTAACAAATGGTTTAGCACTTAGTTGATGAAAAACATAAGGTGTTTTTATGCAGATTCTCATGGAATTCAGATGGATAGTTTCCTTTCAGTAGCAGCAAAAAATAAAACTTCATTGTTTTCATCTCTTATTACCCCAGCTTTCCCTATGGAAAATTTAGCTTTCCAACAAACTTGTGGAAGGAGGAATACCTTGAAAAATCACTTATCATTATGTAGCAATAAATAGGTTGGGGGTGCCTCTTATGTCATGATTCCATCAAAACATTGTGCTGTAACCTGATTTTTGTTGCTGTAGAATTGTATTCTCTAAGTTGTGGGCTCAATTCAACCTTGCATTTTTTTCTTCTGAATATGAGTAAGTACATGGGAGCATGGAACTTTCCTTAAAGGAAAGGAAAGGAAACAGGTATGGGTGGATGAGTAGTTTTTTATGGAAGAAAAGGAGAAATCCTTCTCTCACAGTATGGTGGAACTAGCTACAGCCATCTTTGAATACATATTGCAAGTGCCTTCACCCATAGCAATTTAGGATGGGTAGATAGGACATGCAGGTGATGTATCATTAGCATTCTTACAATGAGGAACTTGCCAGACCCATAACATCATTTCTGATTTTATCAAGCTTAACCTAATTTTACTGCCCTGAATGTTTGATATCTGTTGTGTGAGGAAAGGAAAAGTTTTTTTTTTTAAACTACCTGCTACAATATATATCAATAAGAACAGCTTGCTCTTTTAGAGGTTAGGGAAATTTTACTTGATTTTCAATGAGCCTATTGCCATCCAATGGCACTGTTATTACTGGCTCAATGGTCATTGGAAACTCCATCTATTTACTTACACTGGGAGAAGTATGACAGAATGTAGAATTACATGCCTATCTGGATTTATTTCAAGCTGCTTCAATCAAGCACATATTTACATATTGGGGAACACAGGTTCTTGTTATTGGAAAAGCCTCATTGGAAATTATCTATAATCAAAACTTTGTAGTTTCAGGGACAATTTGGAACCCCACATTCATCTCAGTCAGCTGTAAACACCAGTCATCCATCAAATGCAAGCACAAGATTGAGACATGCTGTTATCCATTTCCCATCACGGTTGCCTCTCCTACGTCATTCAACTTCTCTGGGAGATATTGATGACATCCCAGCATCCTGTAGAGACCTGGATTTTGGTGGTAGCTTCATCCAGCTTAATTCTAATATGATTAGAATAGACCACATTTATTTAACTTCAAAGTTGCTTTGCAAAACTGTTAATAATGATATGAAACCAGTACATGTATGTGCATATTTCAGATTCATCAATTGAGACCATCTCTGAGAAGGGTTCAAAATGTTGCACATGTTGTGGAGGAACATGGCAACAAAGAATGGTGTTGCTCTCAATTGCTGTTGTGGACTTCTCTTCCTTCTGCTGCCTGTCTATACTTGCACCATTTTTCCCCAAAGAGGTTCTGGTCTTTGCTTCATTTGTTTCTCTCTTGTCTATCTACCAGCAGGACTGACAGAGTCAGAAATAGAGGTAAATTAACATCAGATTACCATCGCCAAATAGTTTAGCCCTGATCAAAGGTTTCTGAGTGTCCTAAATATTTTTGGAACTGAGGAAAGCTTGGCTATTATTATTGAGCGACATGTTTACATCTGGTGTTACATCTACAGTGTCATTTGAAATGATCCAGTGGTTAGTGTAAGTGAACTGGAAACTTTTTAACCATACCTTGAATGATTTTGGAAAATTACCTAATCAAATCTCTCAAATCACAAACCAGTGGTTACATGTAAGCAGGACTCTGAAAGGGAACTGAATCAAAACAGATTGAGGAAATGATATGAATTTTATAGAAAACTGGAATGAAGAGCCACCTTAAACAGAAACTTAAAAAATATCCCTATTATATATTCTATTCTTTTTTTTTATCTATCTACAAATCTTCCTGCCCTTGTCATATCACAAGAGTCAGGAATATTGGATCAGATTTTTTAATTTTATGGATTT